TTCTTTCACCCCTTCGGTCTTAATAAAAAAGGGCAGTTTGAGATCTCGAATCTACGCGCTTCTTACTCTCTACCCGATTATCCCTGTGTGAATGGAACTATCAAAGATAAAAATATAGGATGAAGGATCACTCCCATAAAAGATAAAAATATAGGATGAAGGATCACGCCCCATCAGGGCGGTTAACCGAGGAATCGGCAAAGACGCGTACGTTTATACATATTCTTTGCATACACGAGCACATGCACACACGTATATTGCATCGCCGACAGCGAAAGTAACGCCACTTGGGGCGGGGAAGGGGGGGCAGACATATGAGCACACATGGGGCGGCAGTCACCACCTGGCGCGCATAGCGAAGTTGAATGCCGATCCACCCCTATACGTACACGTAACTACGTACCCCGAAACGGTGCGCGACCCCTCGACTTGGCTCGTGTCGACGTACATTGTCGTAGGATGGCCCGGTAGACGACGACGACGATGTTCGAAAGGAGAACCGCGAAGGAAGCTGGAGGAGAAAAGATGGGAAAAATAGCGCAAGTGAAAAAAAACATGGGGTTTCTCAACCTTTCTTACCCTTTCCCCGTGTTTCCCCTTCCCGTCTTCCCTTCTGTCTTTCGTCTTCCTATCTTTCTCATATTCCTTTAAACTGCACGCACATCGTACGCCGCTGATTTTGATGTCTCGTGACACGTCATAATGCAACGATGTACACCAGTGACAAGACAAGAGTCAACGAACCTAGCGGACCCAGCTTGATACGTTGATTGTAATATCGATTACTACGAGCCGCCTGTATCGTGATCACATACACACGATTGAATGTATTGTGATCAACGACGATGTGTATTCGCTTGGTGGCGAGCCTCGCGTGAGAGCTAGTGAATATTTGCCTCGTGTCCACCAATAGGGATTCTGCATTGTGAGGGTCGATAGGGTCGATAGGCTATCGGTTAACCAGCTCGTGCCACGTGCGGGTACATTATGTGCGAATGTACGGTTTTTATCGCAGATAATAACGTTATAACCATTCTGTATAGATATAATGGAACCGTTTTTACTTGTTAAATGGTACAGAAACAAATACATATTGAAAGAAATTTATTTATTCGTATACATCTGGAGAGTAATTTCATGTGTCCAAGATTAAATAATAGCATTTTTTTATATAAAATATTTTTAATATTCTTTTCATACAGAAAATATCTCTTACGAGTAGTTTATAAATGTTTTTTAAGAATATGATTACAATGAATTATCTATATATTAGTCAGATAATTATTAATCGTATGATATATTTAAATATATTTAGAAATTTGAAATCTAATCATCTTTATGAAATAGGAGGAAAAGAGAGAAAGAGAGAGAAATGTGTCAATCTTATATATCTTATTAGCTGTTGTATATCTGTTGTATATCTATCCAATCAAAACTAGAAAGGCTAAAAATTTTTTTAGAGCAATTTTTTAATTTATGCTTCAATGAAAGAACATTCTCTCATTTTTTTAATCGCCACAGAACTGTTCTCACAAATTAATTTAAAAAAAAATTATATTCACAATTCTCTCTCTCGTTTAAAATAAAATATCTATTAACACGAGAGAAAGGTATCAAAATTGATCTCTAAACAATTTAATTATATAATTGTTATATAATAATTATGTAATAATTATATAATTGTATAGTTTATCAATTCGTTATAATTAATATTTACGAGAGGAATTTATGCGATATCATTTGCAATAAACAATCAATCTCGCCTTCATATTCCTCTACAGAACTGCTGAAATATACATATGTCGGCTATATCCAGCGAGATCTCGGAGGGGTAACGAAATTTGCCCCGAAATGGATTTCGACGAGGAACGCGGTACACGCTGCGCTTTATTTTTAACATCCCGCACTCGCGGGATTTGTACCCTTATGATCGTACGAGTGTCTCCTCCCGATGGCGGGAAACGGCTGGCGTAAGTAGGTACGTGGTGTTCTGGTGTTTCTGCTTGCGTAGGAAACGGATGTCGCGTGTGAGGCAATCTAAAATTAGAAATGTTCCCGATACGCCACTCTTTCTCTCTCTTTTTCCTCCTCTCCCTTTCCCTCGCGCGGTGTATTAGTATTATGATTTGGTGCCTGCTTGCCATGCACACACGTTTTGCTCTGTGGCTTTGCTCTAAACTGGAGTCACGACCGTTGAAGCGTACTTGCACATGTTGCACAGCCGCAGCGGCTGCCCGGGGAATGTCGCGTTAATTAATAGGGGCACTGATGGGGGGGATCGATGTCGTTCGCAGTTGACTTTACGAGTTGATGTAAAGCTACGTTTGCAACATTATTATTAATTATGACATTCTGACACATGTCGGCAGATCGAATGGATCGATGGGCAATTTTACCCTGTAATGATTTTCCATATGTTGCACTTTGTCAACATTTGTCAGTCTTGATTAATCAAAAGTCGATGCTATAATCGTACATTTTGCATTTGACACATGATTTTCAGAAAATAGAGATAATATATGGGCTGTTCTGTTTTAACTTAGACACTGTAATATCTTGATAATCGAATAATTGACAGATTATCACATTATTCTGTCTATCGTTATTAAGTGACTTTTTTTAAGATGCTGTCAAATGTGATTAAGCAAGAGTTCGTAAAATACAATAAATGATAGATCCGAAAAAAGCTAAAATAAAATAAAAAATCTTAGAAAGAAATATACAATTTTGATTGAAATTTGAGGAGGAGAATTTATAATTAAATTTAATTAAACGATAAAACTTTCGCATTTATTTCACATCAAGTTCAAAAGCATTTCATATTCATATAACATGTAAGCGATACTTTATCAATTATTCGTGGCTTATAATAGATTCACGCGATACTTTTGCGTGACGGGCTCAGGAAATTCGCTTAGGTAAAAGGGTAACATAAGGAGCGAGTATTGATGTGAGGGAAACGGACCGAGAAGGAACGTTGAAAACCGAGGCCAAGGTTGGCGATTTCAGGCGTTTGCCTGAAAATTCGCGTCTATCCTCGCGTTACATTCTCCTCGACGCGAGGCAAAACTAAGCGGGGAGTGCGTATTGCGAGGGTGCGTGTCACGGCGAGTGCCTCGACTTCCTGCGGAAGTGCGCTACGTCACGTAAGTAAGCAGGTACACGAGAGATGTGACTCGCGATTCATCTAGTCTAGTCTCTTACGTGCCATTCGATAGGGTTTATCATCCTTCAACTTTCGCGTTTATACTTTTTGCATTCAATCTCGCCTTCGAACGCTCTTTCATGCGACTCGTGCTTGGCTTAGGTCAATTCAATCTCGATGACCGGGCTTGAAAAATGGTATGCTTCATTCATCATTTGAAATCGGAGGCGTAAAGCATCGACCAACGGTCGATTTCCAAGGAAGAAAATTCCTGCAGCGAAATCTGTCATCCTTTGTCCCTTATGATCCTTCGCCGCGAGTTGTCCTAAATTTAGGAGCAACGCGGGAGATGCCCTTGTATCCTAAACGCGCTAGGAACCCTTGCATTCGAGATAAAATGATTAATTTTGTAATTTTTAAGTTTAAACTAATTTTTCAATTTACACTGTTTTCAGTAATTAAATAAATATTCGCACATATCTTTCAAATGATACTGTTCTCATCACTTGTTATAAGAAGAGAATACACTTGCGATATTCTTGCATTATTTTAAATAAAATAATATAAATGAAATAAATAAATAATCTCTTAAATAAATAAATTAAATAAATAACCTTTTAAATAAATAAATTAATGAATTAAATAAATTAATAAATAAATTAATGAATTAAATAATTTCTTAAATAAATAAATTGAATAAATAATTTCTTAAATAGATTAATTAATTTCTTCATATAACACGGAAAAGATATCTAAATGAGTACAGTTTATAATTGCATAATTTAATATTTCTCGAAATTACACAATGCGGGATAGAAGATACAGAACTCATGCTACATGGTAACGTTGTGAGGATGTTTAACGCTTCATATCCCTCGTCTTTTTATTAGCACGACATGAAACGATTAAACTGGGGTCCCTCTGCGTCTCGCATTCTTCCGGTCTAACTGCAGACTGGTCTTATAATATGTGTAGGAGATTGGGGATGACTTTTGCGCGACGAGTGAAAGCAAATAAAAGTCAACGGGAACAAAATCACGCATCTTGCTAAATATTATAAGGTATATTTTATCTATAATGTTTATTTAATTATCTGAGAGGTGTCGCAAAATATTATAAAAATGTTATAAACTAAATCGGACACGTTTGACGTTTCGAAAAATTAATTCGAGATTATTTTATAGCCAGGAGAAATCTTTTTTTTTTTTTCGCCTCACATGGCACGCACATGCGAACTAAATTTCTCGAGTTTCAAAATACCCGAGGGAGCACTTGCCACGCAAGGAATCATTCGAATGAGATTCCATTAATTGAAATATGAACGAATAACAGACATATGTGATAGTTGATTTCATAGAATAATTGAATATGTCGACAATAATATCGCCGGACGATGATAATTTTTGGATGAGAAAATTGATCATTATCAGCCTCCGCGGTTTCATCTATGCATTTGTTACACTCGAACCGATTATTATCGCGAAACAAGAATGAAAACCAAATAAACGAATGAAGGAGACCGCGAGACACGCATGATTTCATAGACGTCTTCAAGATGACATCCGCGTCTAAGTCTGCCTCTTGCATGCGGTTAAGAAATTGGCGAGAATAGAGAAATAGGACATGAGAGCTCCATGTGTGGCTCTGTGAAAGAGAACATGTGTTTCTCTCCCTGGTAATCACGGGCCGATCCTTTGTTCGCGGACAATCCATCGTCTTTCGAATGCAACTTTTATAGGTGTTGTGATTTTTCGGCCAATTGTCATTTTAATTCTCTCGAGACCATACGTTCTTCCAGTAATATTGATTTTGAAGATCTCTTGAGCGTTAATAACACTCTTTTCTCTGCTTTCAGGTACTTTTGGCACCTCGCATCACACGAACGATCAGAGGAGCGAAGGGTGAGTCCATCATTTTAATTATCTGTATCATATTGTTGTATTCGGCGGCATTTTTCGTTATCCACTGCAATGTTTATCGCAATATTGCTTTAATTTTAATAATTAAATTTTAAAATTCGCAATTTTTAATCAAAAATATATAATATTAAAAAGAAATTAAAAAGTAACGTCACATAATTGATAAAAAAATGTATTGTAAGAAACGTTATTTTATTATTAATGTTATTTATTTATCAAACTTGCATTTTCTTAAAAAAAATATGAAAATCATATAATATTGCGATAATTAAAAAAGCACACTTGACGGAACAAAGGCCATAACTTGCGCTATTATTCGAGCTGCTAAGGCCCTTTAAGACGCTGGATTTTTGAATCGACACTCCTTCCGACACCGCGCATTCACCGATGTTTCTTAAACGTGCCGCGACGTGTCTGATCTGATTTCGAAATAAAAGGCATCGGCGGGCGATCAAAGTACGATTATTAATTCGTAGGAACGCGTTCTGTTCGCCAGTTACGTGAGAATTGACCCTTCGCTTTTCCACTCGTTACACTGCCACTACCGGCTCCATTCATGCTTCTGGCTCATTCATCGAATCCCGCCGAGGATCCTTTCTCTCTTTAGATTTGCTCCTGCGTCGTAGTAGACGCTATATACTCAAAAATCCAGGTTTAAATCCAAGCTCGCGATCCAAGACGCAGGACCAAGTCTCGGCTCATAGTTTCTCGACTTCCCCCTCGTTTCTCCTTCCGTTCTTTCCCTCATCCCTTCTCTCTCTCTCTCCCTCTTTTTCTGTTAGTATTTTTTAAATCCAAGACTGGCAGGAAATGACAACGTTCTAAGCCTTTACGCCTCTCGCGTTCCTTCTTGTGATGCCTTCTACATTTCCTTAGTATACTAGAAGAAGAAATGTTCTGCCTTAATCTATGATCTAAACGCATTACGCATATTTATCCTTTTACGAGATAAAAAGAAATATATTATAATATTATATCGATTCATGATTAAATGTGAGACATTAGAATGCTGATGATCTTTTTATATTTTTCAGATTTGTGCTCTGTTTATTAATAATATGATGTTATATAAGTCACATTCTTCAAGTATAACTTGGAGTGAAATTCCATAAGAGCAGCAATTCTATAAGAGATTTTCTTTTGATTACATAATTAATAAATTTGAAGAGGGGATTAGAGTCTCAGCGCAGTTATAGATGAAAATATTTATAATAATTGCAAGCAAAAATATACATGATTTATATCATTTGTTTTACTCCAAAGCAGTATAGCAAACGTGATCCACACATGTATTATTAGACAGTGAAAATTATTTACTCGGATTATTAGATCTTTTATAAATTGCCTTCTTGTTCTCCAAAATTATTTTCTTGCGATTAGGTCCATGTCTGTCTACGTCACAATTTTGGGTGGTCTTGCAGATTTAATTACGTGTCTTAGATATTCGATAAGAACGAAGAGTGTAAAATATCGTGGGTTATCCGAAACGTTGATGGGTAAAAAGAACTGGATATACATCTTTGAAAACCTCACCTACTTCCTTTGTTCTTTGTGAGCGAACGTGGTTCATGAAACGATAATGTAAAGTATATATTTTGTCGAATGCTATGTTTTATATTTGTTTATAAAAAGGACGCAAAATGTAGAAAAAAATTGATTCATAGATAATGATTTTTATTATTTGTAAATCAAATTATTTTGTAGATGCTTGAAGTTTCTTGAAGTTTTTCTCTTTATATTTTTGTTTTCATTGATTAAAGAATATTCACAGGAAGATAAAAAAATATTATAACAAAAAAAAACATGGAAAATATCCGTTTTTTTTTTGTTCCACAGTAAGAAATTTATTTTCTTTTAGTATGCTGCCTTCTTTTAAGGGCCTCTCTTGATTCGACTCCAAGCATCTACTTTCTCATCTACTAACCTCCTCTACCCCCGCAACTTGTTCTACGTCCCTTCTACGTTCCTCATCGCTTCTATTTATCTTGGTATGAAGGGAATATATACGAACGAAAAGTCTACTTTCGTAGAACGTGTTCTCTTAGTAGTCGAACGTGTTCGTAGTATTTCGAAGATCTAACGGTCAAAATCTTTATGGTCAGGTATTAGAATCTAGAGATAAGTATAAAATTTATCTCTTCTTAGTCAGCATTTGAAACATAGGTGCGTGCATTTGATTTTTTTATTAATTCATGATTTATTTTTTTTTCTCTCGCTTAATTTGTTAATTTTATTTAATGAATCGTAATAATTATATAAGAGAGAGAAAGAGAAAGACAGGAGAACAACTTCATAAAAATATATTCAGTTGTATGTGCAATAATTTTGTTTTAAATCAATTTCTACTCCAAAATTTTACTCCTATTTTGCTCCTAAAATAATTTTTAAAATCCTAATTTTTTAAATAAGATAAACACTGCAACCAATTATTCTCTAGGACAATTTTGCTCAAATTTATTGTTGAAAGAGGACTTTTAGTAAAATCAATAAATTTGTGATTGATAACAGGAATTATTATCTATTTTTTTTTAGATTTTAAAAACATGACTTCTTTATCGGAAATAGTAAACATTGATTATTCAATATCATGAAAAGAATAAGAACGAAGACTTTTTGATCGTTAACGCTTTTTTTTTTATCGAACAATACTGTTTATTGTGCCGTTTCCAGCTGAATGCGAGGAAGCAGCTGATTCTACTTGCGCCATTTTTGTCATCCGTATTAAAGAAGATGCCGCACGCTTTAAACCTTATCTTGGTATTACGATAATCGAGATATTTGAACTGCGCCCTTACCGAGAAGCTCTATCATGAAAACATATGATGTAGACCGCCGATAACAATATTTATACATGCGAGCTAATCAGGAAATAAAAGGAGATGCGCAGGCACCATGAAAACAATTCGCATAGAAAATTTAGAAAGAAATACAAGTAGATTCAAGTCATTAGAAATAAATTTGTAGGGAGAATGAGGAGAAAATTTATAAAATTATATCAAACAGTTCATATATTTTTAATTTAATATTTTTATTTTCTTATTAAAGGTCCTATAAAAGTTTAGTATTTTTATTTAGTATTATAATTAGTAGTATTGTTTTCTTTTATAGGAAGAAATAGATAAAATAAATAAAAAAATAGATTATATTTGCAAGAAAGGCTTTGAAAATATTACAAGAAAAGCCATACAAGAAATTTGTCGAAAATCTCCAGATTCAGTCTTTATTTTCTTACGCTTTGTATCGCTTTGTTTACCCCATTTTCTATAAGAAATAATGATCGAAAAAGAAAATATATTTATGAAAAATATGGAAAAAGAAAACATATATTTATAGAACAGGAAGAGTGGCAGAGAAAGACGAATGATTTCTATTCTCGTTATTTAGCGATGTGAGCCTGTATATAAAGCAATTCAAACTCTAAAAATCAAGAACATTGATGTCTCCCGGTACCAATCAAGTTATAGGTTCTCGTAGAAACGAGATGTTTATAACTCAGGATGTCTGTTTCCTGAAAAATCTGAAATTCAGGAAATTTGCAAGAAGACTTTTTTTTTACAAAATTTTAGCAGACACCTTGTAAACCCCCCGAAAGAGGAGACGAAAAATCGAGGACGAGGAACCGCGACAATCTCTCCGTGAGTCGAGATCGCGTATAATTCTCCGATGTATTTGACCGTACGTGCGATAACACGAGAGAGAGAGAGAGAGAGAGATACTCGAGCACGCATCTCTCGCGGTGAATGCAAATGCTCTCTCCTCTCTGGCTCTCTGGTTCCCAGAAGCGTTGTCGAAGCTTCGCCGAACGGCATTCCAAACGGCGACCGACGACGACGTACCATTGGCGGACGTTTCCCGCCAAGAACGGGAACCAGTTTCGTCGCGTAGCTTTGTGAAAGAGGGAAGAGGAGAAAGGGGGGAGGGGGAGATTCTTCTCAGCTGATCGCTGGTCGATGCGACGCGACGCGCGTCCGTTCTTCTTCCCACGTCTTTCTTCTGCCTCTCTCTTGCTCCTTTATCCTTTTCGAGCCCGCCCTCTTCGATGCTCGTCGAATTTCTCGTCGTTTTATGGACATCTTTTTTTTTCCAAAAACTGTTATGGGAGTGGGAACTGGCAGTGAGAAAAACAGCGTGTTCATTCATAGCTCTTTTTCCTCCGGAAGCAATATTATAATATTCCAAAAAATTAGTGACAAAAATTATAATAAAAAGGAAGAGGAAAAATAATCTAAATAATGAGAGGGTGATATAATAGCTATTTTGATCAAAGAGGAAGTGTAAAGTGACATTTTAGACGATTTATAATTGACGGCAAAATTTAATATAAAATTCAAGCCATATTTTTTTATACTTTTATTTTACTTTTTCAAATTTTATTTTATTTTTCTGTTTCATGACACATACATTTCCTCCCCGAATTTTCGCGAGTTATAGGTCATCTAAGCAAACTTGCTTTTCGTAAATCCTTCATCAATTAAATACAACTTCATATTTCCATTGAAGAGAGTTCAAGCGCCTTTTACGACAATTCAGGCTGTAGGAAACATATATACACAAACGATCGATAACGGATGCTGTAGATCCGCGTGTCAGATTCCGGAGCCGAATTTTATTGTGCTTCTCTACGAGACCGTATTAGGATCATCTCTTTATCAACAGCAATTCCCTAAAATATCAGCAATACCCCAAACAGAAATTCTTGAGGGGAGCATTTTTCTCAGCACGTTCCTCGTGAGCCGCTATTCTGAATGAACTAAGGTATTGTTGCTACACGATACATCGTAAATCGCAAAAGTTGCCGCGCGTTTTTCCGCGCCTCTCGCCCGCCTCTTTTTAATCATCCGTCTTTCTCTCCCGCCGGCCTTTTCTCGACAGGATGACCGCGATCTCGAGTCGGTTCCCAGGTAGATTGGGTAGGTGTGGGAAGAAGACGGCCACTTTGTGTGGTACCTGCCCCAATATTGCGCTACGATAGATCTCACCCT